GCCCTCCAAGATAGCCTGGAAGAGACCCCCCCCCGAAATGAGACCCCCCTCCCTTTATTACGAAATCTGGAGTGCCCTCCCATTAACAGCCGTGGCCAGGACAACGAACAAAGAGGTGTCACCGGGAAAAAGCCGTGTGTGTGAGTTGGTTCGCTGGCAGCCCCCTTCGGTTACCCACCCTGTCGTCCGACCCGAGGGGAGGAGGAGGAGGAGGAGGAGGAGGAGGAGGAGGAGGAGGAGGAGGAGGAGGAGGAGGAGGGGGGGGGAGGAGGATGTGGAGGGAGGAGGGAGGGAGGAAGGGAGGGAGGGGGAGAGGAGCAGAGCCCTTCCTCCTCGTCCGTCCTCCACTTTCCCCCCTCTCCTCCCTCTCGTCTCCCAGTTCTAGCCAGAATGCAGCAGGCTTTCACGCATTCTGAGCCTGGCCTGACGTTCGATTGGCAGATGACCAGAGATCCAGTCTAGTCCAGTTCCGCTCTCCGATCGAAGCTCGAGCCAGAATTTTTGAGCATATCCAGCCGTGCCCAAGAAGGCCCAAACATATCAATCTTAAATTGTTCATCAAGGCCCTGATGCCGCAGATCTTTGACGTTGTGGTCTTTTCGTGACGTAGCACGGACATTCAGGTGGTTTTAGGAGTGGGTCCCCCTTGGCAAAGCACAATCCAGCGCGACCCCAATCGGGGCCTTTCCTTCTCCCAAAGCGACTCGAACAGTTCTGATAAAGACATTGTTTTGCACTGTTTGGCGTTACTTGGAATCGTTTCTTGGCATTGCTTAGAATCTCTTGGCACTGCTTGACTCTGCGTTGCGTTGCGTTGCAGTGCTTGGCATTGTTCGGCATTGCTCGGCATTGCTCGGCATTGCTCGGCATTGCTCGGCACTGACTTTTTATGGATTGCTTGTCGCTGATTGTCGTGTCTTCGCATGGCTTGGAATCGTTGATTGGGATTGCTTGGCACTGCTTTGGCACATCTTGTAGAATCCACAATGCGCTGGAGTGCAGCGCAAGTTCCCCGAGCGAGGCAACCCCCGGAAGTTCTTGGCATTGCTGGGCAGTGCATGGCATTGCTTGGCATTGCTCGACATTGCTTGACACTGCGTGGCATTGCACGGGGAGCCGTCGGCAACTTGGAGGAACACCTCTGACCAAGGGCCCCGCGACCACCAGGTTTCTTTTCACCAGCAGATAAGAACCACACAGGCAGAGGATACTTGGGAACAACGTGGTGGTCGTTTTCTTATCCACCGTTTTGCCGATCGGCGCCGGCTTCCGCACCCTCTCCCCTTCCCCCCAATGGAGTAGATTTTGACTGTTTTAAGCGCCTGTTTCGAGCAGGTGGAAATACTCGCATGCAGCAGAGGTCCGAAGCCATACCCCCCACCCTCCCCCCCCCGTTCCGCCCAATGTCGAAACGCCGAATACGAAAACGCTCACATGCCCGAGGTGGGGCTGAACGAATTGGGCGCGACCAACTCATGGCAAAACAACTTGGTTCGAGGGGAGGACGCATTCCCACGGACCTGGCCCAGGCGGCCACCAGCTCAGAGGCCTCGTACCTCCTTCTGATGGGCAGGTATACTCTATCAGCCCGTCCACTGGGCGTCTGCCACGTCTGCACCTTCCCTCCTCACACCGACTAGCCCTTCTTCTCTGAGATCCGGGCTTTCTCATTCTTCACACCGCGCGTTTTCGCATGGCTTCGGTCCCGAGACCATCACAGATCGATCCAGCTCGGAACATGCCGCAGTCAGATGAGGTATAGGGGTCTAGTCGTGAATTGTTCGCGATGTTGTAATCTTGTTCGCAGCGTCGCACCCCAGGCCAAGCGATGCGACCAGCCTCCAGTGTAGGAGTAGGAGAAGCAGAAGACTCGAGTTCGCCGGGAGTCGACTCTGTCGACTCTTTTTAACGGGCCCGCCCGGAATTTAATCGTTCAGTTGTTGTTCAAACGAGGTGTCGGTGCAGCGTGTTGCCATTCATCGGCACGCTGTTGGCGCACCAGCAGCCCGTAGAACGGCTTGCCGGCGTGCGTCCCAGGACCTGGGGTGTCCTTTCACTGCGGGCGAGCTCAGCCCGAGGGTGTTGGCACAGATCACAGAATGGTGAACACTGATGTCTTTCAAAGATGCCCGGTTCACCGGGAATTCTGCCGCTCCTCAAATGTCCGCGGGACGCTTGCAGCGGGAGTCGCGCCCAATTTCAAACAGGGTATCGTCGTTTTCCGGACGGCTCCGTCAGGCCAGCCCGCGCTTCCCGAACCCGAGCCAGACGCCATGCCGTCGGAAGGTCCAGTGGTCCGACGAAGCGGCGAGAGACTTGCTGCTGTTGGCGCTGCTCGGCCCGCCGGATGTCGGGTCAGGGTGGCCGGGACCCCTGGCGCGCTCGTTCCGGCCAGGGTCTTTGGGCGCAGTGATCCGGACATCGGGCCGCGTGGAGCGAGGGCGCGCCAATCTTTGCAGCCTGAAGCGTCACCTTAGGCCTTAGGGTCGATATCGCCTTGCAGTCAGGCCGAGGTATATGATCGAAGTCGACTTGGGAACGGTAACCCATTCTTTCCGTGATCGTCGTACATTTTTGGGCATCCAGGGGAAGGTACCTTTTGATGTTTTGTGTGTTCTGGCCGGCGGAGGGTCTCTTTGTTCTTGGAGGGTGTTATTGTGGCCTTGGTCCAATTGCACCCTTCTCCCTGTGATCGGCAGCGCCTTCTCTCGACGACGATGTCCAGGGCCCCCTCGGCTCCTCAGGGCACGCCCAGCGATGGTCGTCGCGTTTTGGAGGGGGTTTTGGGCGCTCTCGGGGACGGGGACCAGCTCGAGGCTGGCCACGGGGGCCCCGAGCGCCCGGGAGTCTTTGTTCTTTTTCCCAGGAGCCGCCTCCTGAGGTCCCGAGGGTCAAACATCAGGAGGGGAACAAAAACACACACAGACACAATCCATCGTCGATTCCCAGGAAAACATGGGGAATCCTGTTATTTAATCGCTCCGCTCATTCAACCGGCCCTGGAGCGCTATTTAGGGCCTCTTGGGGGTTAGTCGTTGGCAGCCCCCCCCTCGAAGGCCACGATCCTCGTGAGGGGTGGCGAAAAATAGCTTCCCCCCTGGGGATCGCCCGGGGGTCAGCCGGGGATCGGCCGGGGTACTTTTCGTCCGGGGCCCCCCAGGGAACGCCCCGCGCGCGCGAACTAGAAATACTGGTAAGTAGTTACCGGAGATCTTAGCACGCCTCTGGCCCGTTGGGCCGGCGAATTTGTGTCTATCTATTTGCGTGTCCCAGGGCCCCGTCAGAACAGTTCCACGAGCGTGGACGTCTGCAGGGCCATAACGCAGTCTCGAGTCGGCGCTGGAGCCCCTCTTCTTGGCATCGCTCGGACGTGTGCATTTTTCCTTCGGCGAGGGCCATCGAGGAGCATCCTTGATCATTTGGCGAAACAAACCACGCACGAAACCGAAAAAGACACAGGGAATGGACGTCCGAGCGATGGCGAGTCTTTGGGGTCGCCTCCGGCGCCGCCCCTGGTGCGCTCGCCAGGGAACGGCGCGCGCACATTCGAAAGTTTGATGTGGATGACTGCCCCGGACGACGACCAGTAGATGATGTTTCGGCCGTGGGCGCGGGCGTTCCCGTCATTGTTTTTTGTTCGGGCGTTGCCCCACGTCCGTGTGATTGGGTCAAGTTGTTCGGGATGCCGCAGGGTGCCTTGTGTTGATCGTTTCCCCCTTGGGTGTTTTCTTGACCGCCATACTCACGTTCGTTTTAAGATCCTCGATCCTCGTGGACGGAACACATGCTCGTATCTGCGGCCTCGAGGGCCAGGTCCCTGCGCCGCGATCCCTCGGATACTGGGCGTCTTTCCGCGGATGCCCCTCCCGGAGACGTGCCCGTGCACGGCGCATTCGCGGGATCGCGCCCTGGAATCCAGACCGCGAGGGCTCGGATACGGAGATGTTCCAGGAAGGCAACATCAATACAAACACAACGCAACAACGCGAAGTGTCGTGAGACTGGAGGAGAGTGTGTGGCACGTGAGGGTGGGAAGGCAAAGCCAGGAATGATGGCGAAAGGTGGGGACTCTTGGAATTCTGTGGGCCCTGGAAACAGCAAGGCCGTTTTGTCACCGTTTCCGTAGACTTGCCCCTTGAACATGGAAACGGTCCAAAAACGGCAACCGGAAACGGCAAGTAAACGGCTCCAGAATTAGAACGGGAGACGGATCCGGAAACCAAGCGGTGGCTGAAGCGGCAAGAAAGGCAGCAACGGAACCGGCAACAAAAAGCGGCAAAACGAAATCGGTCAAGCAGTAGTTTTGCCCTTCCCAAGGCCCACTACGAAGTCCCTGGGCCCCTTTTGATGCCCGCCGCCCGCGGGATTCTGGGCGAGAAAGTGTGGAGTGAAGGGGCCAAGAAGAGAGCTGCCGTGGGGTGGGGAGGCGAGGCGATGAGGGGGGGAGGGGGGCGTCGGTGGATTCGGGGTGAGAAAAATTGTGGAGGGGGGGGGCCCAAGAAGAGAGCTGCCGTGGGTGCCGATGGGGCGAGGAGGGGGGCGTCGGCGGGGCCCCTCCCCGCCGTCCGTGGCCGGGGGGGGGGGGCGTGCCCGCAGCCCCGCGCCCGAGTTCGGCAGGCCGCCTTCCAGCCCGCGCGGCCGCCCCTGGTGAAGCTCGTGCTGTCGGGGGGCCGCCCCGCGCAGCGCGCCGTGACGTCTCGATGGTGGGCTTGTTTTCCACCACCACCAGAAGTTGGAGGGGGGGCCCAAGAAAAGAGAGCTTGCCGTGGGGTGCCGGATGGGGCGAGGAGCGGGGGGCGTCGGCGGGGCCCCCCTCCCCGCCCGTCCGTTGGCCGGGGGGGGGGCGTGCCCGCAGCCCCGCGCCCGAGTTCGGCAGGCCGCCTTCCAGCCCGCGCGGCCGCCCCTGGTGAAGCTCGTGCTGTCGGGGGGCCGCCCCGCGCAGCGCGCCGTGACGTCTCGATGGTGGGCTTGTTTTCCACCACCACCAGAAGTTGGAGGGA